AGGAAAGCTTCCAGTTGCGAACAAATTTTAAGAAATGTGCGGTCAATTTTTTTTTTCAATCTAGCAATAGCGTATGACTTCCTGCCGAAGCAGGGGGTTTTATACGTGAGGGACCAGAATTGTATCCCGTGTAAGTAACAGAAAAATGAAAGTTTGTAACTTCCAAGCGTGCTTGTCCTTTTGCAGTCATCAAACGTGGTTCATAACAGCAAGTTCAGTGTGTTTTATATTAATTGTGTCTTTCATTTCATAAATTCTCGGTTATATTTGGTTTACGTTACATCCATTTGCAATGATTGTTCAAGCAAAAAGCTACGAATGGTCTTTTGTTTGCCGTTACCCCCTTTGGCTCCATGGCTGTATAACGCTTTCACATTTACTTCTTTGTGCAATCTTCCAAAGTGCTACCAAAGGGTTCAATGATAACGCTTAAAGAAATCTTGGAGTAAGGATAATGGGCAAAACTAAAGCTCGTGATCTTTTTATCAAACGTTACACTCCTTGAGGAACTTCTTGAAGAAGGCATCCGCCGTGAGCTTGCTTTGGAGCTTCCATCTCTGCTGAATTGTAACGACAAGCCGGGTCCATTAGAGGGTGACTTTTAGTATGTGTAATTCTAGAAGCGATAGACCACTATCATTGATTTTGTAATCCCAATGTTGTTTTTAGATGTGTTAAATCACCTTTCGGATACCCTACAATCCTTTCGTCGTGCGTTCATCTATATGTGTGAACATGTGGACATTAATGGTTACGATATGTGGCGAGAAGAGATTGACTCTATTGTCCATCGAATGGCGAATGAGCTTAAGGAAAAGAAACTGCCTACTGTGGTATCTTTTGATCTACACATAGTGATCGGTGTGATGTCAATCTTCCCTTCTAGCTAAACAATGTAAAAGGTGGCGGTACTATCGCGTCTTTCTTTCACGTGTACAATCTTTTGCTGAAGTACTCTGATCCATAGTAAGTCAAGCCTTTTCTCGCTCATAATTCTAATTAAGTAGCCATTAAGAATATCGTTCAGTACGAATCGTTATTTGGAAAACACTATGACATGGTGCGAGGTGAAATCCCGAAAGGATGTACTTTCTGCCAGAACTTTCGATCTGATTGAGGTATACACCTTCGGAGTAGATATATTTTATTTTGATTGAATGGTTTATGCAATGTGAACGGTGGAGTCACGGCATGCGAATCGCTGCCCTAAAATGCATTGCGAGGATGCCCGCGCATGTACGATCCTCAGGGCGGAAATACGCATTTTGTTTCAATCGAAACAGACTATACGACCATAT